TAATTTTCATTCGTATGTGTACACACAAACAACACATGCGTAGGAAATATATATATATATATATATATATATATGTATGTATGTATGTATATGTATATACAATATATGTATACACGTATGTAGCTATGAGTGAGAAAATACAATTATCGAGAGGTTAGCCTAGTCAAAGGTGCGAGGAGAAAAGCTCGTTCTCCAGAACGGACGTCAATGGTCCCGCGATCGATATCTCCCCACTAACACCCTCGCGAAAGGTACAACTTTAAGATCAAAACAAAACTTCTCTTCGAAGCGATTACGTACAAATAACACACGAGTTTTTGGCACGAATCAACTTGCACTCGTTTGTGGCGATTCAATCAACACGCGTCACTTGCTTCGCACGCCGGATTTCATCGGTTCGTCAAACATCGACAACGAGCCAATCACGTATTTGATTCGTAACAACGACGAACGACGACAACAACGGCAACGAGAACTTCCTTTATTGTTTCGAGTTTCTTCTTTTTCGTCTTCTTTCACTTCTTTCTTTTTTCTTCTGCCACGATATATCGTGATATATCGATACTTTCTCCCTGTGTTCTGTTCACTTTTACGAGTTCGTCGTCTTGTGTATTTATTAACGTACACGAGCGCCGATGAAACGATTTTTCAGGATCCAGCTTACCAGGAAGCAGGTTAGCTAGGTTAGAATATCCTGGCTGACTAGAAACGATGACTAGAAACGCGTGTTCTTTCTTAAAATATTTTTCACGTGCGGCGAGCCGTCGATTCGCACTGCTCCGTAGAAGATTCAAATTTAGAAGCGTCGTATCGGACGGTAAAAAAGCGGGCCGCGCGCCTCGACCAGTTCGCGGTCGAGCCTGAAATAAAGATTTGAGGAAGTCGCGTGGAGAGCACGGGAACGAAAGAAAGAGAGAGGAAGAGAAAGAGAGAAAGATGGTGAATGAAGAGGAGGGGGGCCTGGCCGTGTTGCACATACCAGTCGGTCCACCTCGCCTCTGAAGTTCGCCTCGGCACGCCGAGCTAACGTCGACGAGGTTCGACTGCTGATTGGCCCTCACTGGGATCGACGTCAGACGCCGCCTCGCCAATTGCGCCACGCCGTATGCGCCGCGCATGCGCGCCACTTCCAGACAGAACAGTCGCGCTGGCATTCCAGCTTCGACCGCGCGATGAACGACGTTGATTTTGATGTCACGCAATAATACGCGACTGTCAATTAATTTCATATTTATGTACAGATAGTTTATTTCAAGTTATTTTAAACCGCATATTTATTACTTGGAAAATTCAGATTTTTCATTTTGAGCAAAGAGAGAAACTTTTTATTTAAAATAATTAACGGTTAGATAAGACAAAATACGAGATACGTATAACATACTCTATAAGATAGAAAATAATTTAAAATATTTAAGTATCGAATACATGTATATATTTTCAAAATATCGATTTTTTTATATTTTATTATACGAGATAACCTATTAAATAATATACATGTAAATTGAAAAATTATTTTAACAGATATATGGACACCAGATAGAGCTTTCGTAGCATTCACACGATATTCACCTATGCTTGGTATGTAAAGAATTCCTAAATAAAGCAACACTCACGTGAAGAACGTTCGGAATAATGTAATGTTTTAAGAATGTACGAAAATCTTCGAAATAGCACAAGTCATTCATAAACATTTCTCCTATAAGTTGTAAGTCGGCTCGCGTCAGAGTCAATGTAAATTATAACCGTAAAAGTTCAGATAGCCACGCGTAAAAGTGGCATCTTTACACTTTATTAATATTTCGCCGTCCAGAAATAACAGCGTGGTTAAAGAATCTAACCGACGTTTTATACACTGTGTCACTTGTGTTACCCAAAGTGTACGTTGGAGGATGAAAATAACGATTGTATTATAAACAGTCCATATTTGCTGAACTGCAAACTAATCGATTAATCTACATGTGTCGTATCGATTGTTGTAGTACTAAATCGTAGCCGAGTGCTTTTTGTTTTCAATGTGAAAGAAAATTTTATCCAAAAAATTGAAATAATTACAAACGTTAACATACTGGATATTTTCTTTCGATTACTCGCGATTTATATCGATCTGTATCGATCGATTCGATTAATCGAACTTACGTATATATTTTTCTGCTATTCGATTTAAAATAATCGAATATGTTGAATTATTGAAATTTAATTTATCGATCCAAGTCTCGTGCCGAAGATCCTTCGGTCATTGAGTATGAGATCATATAGACACGATACTACGCATAATGGAAACGTCACTTTTTCGTGTCAATAGTTCGTCGCAGGTACAATTCTCTTACCAGTATAATGTCACAGATGAACTACCAGTCAGTACACACACGTTAGTCTCGTTTATTCCTGATTAATCCGTTGTACACAGACAACGTGAAATTTTTAATCCGTTAATGCGTTTTGCTTTATTATGTCTACACAACATATGTTATACCCATACATATGCTCGTCATAATATATACAAGGTACAAATACTAAATATCTATTGAATACACTAACATACAAAAACAGGAGAATCATTTATATTTATCCAAAAAAATCCAATATGCATATACGTTTATCACTTTTGTTGTGCTTTATAGGTTATGTGATGTTAATTATAGGTTATATCATTTTCATAGGTATTGGTCGACTGAAAAGGAATAGACCACAGAAAAATGAGAAGAAAACGATGCTTTTATTACGACAAATGGAATACTACGATAAAAATGTCGGCGATCGAAAGGAATATTCTAACATGTATGGGATCAGTGTCCGAAATTGACAAGACGATTGATCGAATATTGCGGTGAATACGTCGAATTACGAGGGCAGACAAATACAGAGGCCATATCACGGCGGATGCCATCGGTAAACTCGAAAATCCAACTCGATAAATATTAAACGAGCCGAGACGCTTGATGGCTGCTAGCGACTAACTTCCATCAGTTATTCGCGAGCCATCCGACAGCCGTGCGAAATGAAATTGAATCGAGGATCCACGTTCGAGTCACTTGAACGCCTCAAACCTGGTTATATAACGTTTCGAATCGATTTCGAGAGGTTAGGGAACGATTTTCCAAAATAACCGTATTCGTATGCTATTTGAATTTGGGGAATATCAACATAAGGAGACAGATTATTAACCTGGCGCTGATTTCAATATATTAGATGCGAACAACCCGTTTGAAAGCACTATTAAAAAAATAATCTAACAATTATGCAAGTATAATGTTTGAACTTATCAGGTTTTTAAAATTTCGCCAAATTATTCAGCGAATCACATAAGGAATTTAAAGTCAACGCTATTGTAAAATTTAAGTCGCGAATATACCTCGATCGAGAGAAATGTTTCTCTGGAAAGATAAAGCAACCCAAGAGGGCACACACGATCGTCACAGTGACCCGAATTTCAGGCAAGATGAGGGAAAAATGGAGAAAATCAACTGACCAAATAATCTTGGTGTTATCAAATCACGCCCATAATAAAATATATAAATCAAAAACAAGCTACGAATAGTTGAGAATAAATAACCTCCATTCAAATTACCATATTTAATAACTATCATATTTCCATTACGCGATGTAGAATTTTAAAAGCATTTGGAAATCAAATTCCATGTCTGATGGGATTACTATTCTCAAGAATCTCCAATACCACAAGACCTCTGAAATAAAACCATAGATGAAGAGCTTTTAAATGATTAAAAAGAGTTTTCGTTAGAAAAATTGTAACCTCTCTGACAAAATTATTGCACCAAAAACCTAACCTATCACTATCAAAGAATATTAGGTATCGGTACAGAGTCCCTCGAGTTCCCTCGCAAAACTAATATAGTAATAGCGAATCGAAATATAGCCTGATCCTTAGAACAGAGATACAAGAAGAAACAACGACCATCTAGACTGACAGGGTAAAAACGTCCTGTCGAATCATCTTCGTGTGCGAAAAAAGCTCACGAGCAAGAGCTGGCAATGCCTGTCGATATTTAACGAATTATCCCAGGTGCGGGTAAATATAAATCTACTCCAGGTCGGATCGTATGTATTATGCATGAGCTGCAATGTAGCTGTCCCCCTACAGAGGTCGGATAACCTAACCCGTCGAGAGAGCCGGCAAGTGTTCAATATATCCTAGCCTATCGATCTCGTCGACCGAGCGCGAAAAGACGCGAGAAACGGGACAGTGGATAAGTAATTAATATTCTCCGGATACAGATAACGAGCGACATTGTAAGGGAGGGCGACACCGGCCAATTCTGGTGCACGCGTGCCTGCACACGAACTCTTGGCCTAAAGAGAGCCGTCAGAGGGCTAGTGACTCAGTGAGAGGAAGAATACATTTAGAGAATTTTGGGGGATTTTTTTGAAATTTTCTCTGATATTGCTCGTGAAACGTGGTAAAAATAATTTAATTTAATTTAATCGGTTTTGGTTTCATCGTATTTTTATTAAGTTCGTGATACATGTTTTCGTAGATAGTGAAGGATTATAGCTGCCACATGGCAAACAAGGAAATGAAAAGGACATTTTTGTCAATAGGTAAATTTCTGTTTTTAGTTTCAATAGGGATTTTTAATAAATAAACGTTGTCG